AAAACAAGTTCAGCTTTGCACATACAGCAAGGGTTGCTAGGTTTCCTTTAAGCAATGAATAATAACATGTTCTCGGCACAATTACTGTACTTCCTCAGAACAGCATTAATTTTCAGAGAATTTGAAAAGTAAATCTGTTAATAAGCTTAGGAAATAATATTAATTAAACACAACTTCTTTCAGAAATTTAGCTAAAACCACAAGACATTTTTTCCTTTTGATTTTGTTAAGAATACTGTTAGCTGTTCAAACTACTCACAGCAGACTGCGGTTTTGCTTTTGCTCTATGTTCACATACTGTGTTTTAAGCATTCTTATTTTTGCTAAAATTCTCTCTTTTGGCACATGCCAAAACCCAGAATAATTTTCTACTAAGACCGATAGGGAGAAGAGCCTTCTATGCAATCTACTGCCGTATCTCCCAGTCTCAGTGGGAGGAAAACCGCTCCAAGACCTCTCCTCAGTTAACAGCCATTTTGAGAATAATACCTCTTTCATTCACTTCCCTACCCCAAGTATGCATTTACATCTCTTGTACAGCTTAGATTTATGTAACAGTTACAGCTATTTTAATTTAAGGATAAGAGAGAGGCAAAATTTGTCAGCAGAAGTGAGAGTTTTTATTAGATTGATACATCTGAAAAAATACGGACAAGCTCTCAAATTCAGTAACTCATCAGGTCAAATTAAGGTTGTTTTCTGGTTTTATTACACTACTGTCCAAAACTTAACACAGCATCCCTGAAAGACAGTTTAACTAAGGCTACATACTAATCCTTCTATCTAAAGATGAATGTTGATGTTTTGAAACTTTCTAGTAAATTAGAAACAGGTGATGCATTACGCAGTTTCTGCTCAGCACTCATTGATACCTTTTGAACTTGATTTGACTGCAAAATCATAATCCAGTTTCTGAAAGGGACATGTATTTTTAAACTCTCCTTTAAATTCATCGAAACCACTGTGAATCAGAATTTTGTATGTGTCAAACCAACAGCTGCAGAGTAACTGAGAACACCGCAATCTGCTTTGTGTTATACACAGACACAGACAAGCTACCTCTTTAGTTAGAATCACCAGCACAGGATGGCATCTGTGTCAGTCCCATTTCCCTCCTCTATCCGTAGCAGAGCAGCAGCAAGAGACAACTGGAGTTATAAAACCCATGAAGCAGACTGAAGGGTTCTTTTTTTTTGGCATTTTAAATTAACGTGAAATGCAGTGCTAGAACAGAGAGTCACTGCAGCGTCTCCCAAGGGCCCAGACTGTCAAAGTACAAAAATGGGTTGGCTGATTTATATATTTCCTAACTTCTCCTCTGAGTCTTTAGTGGCAACTAGGAACAGTGGTTTAACACTTCAGACATGAAACTGTCACTTAGATGCAGGTGACATTTCCCCCCTTCTTATATGATATTTTTTCGGTGACTGTGTCCCTCTTATGTCCCAATGAGACCCCCAGACTGGAGACAGAAACACTGCTAGAGTCTGAAAAGATCAAAGTGCTGAACATAAATTAGTCCTCCAGTTATGCTGAAAGTGGGCTTTACACAATAGCTGCCCACACTACGTCATCCTCATGCCTTCATGGAGGCTGACCTGGAAAGCATCAGCCTATACTGATAGAAAAAACAGTCTGTAATGTGTGCGGAAAACACCAGCAGCAGCATCGTGTGTGTGGGGCATCTTTAGGAAGAGAATAGCCCAAGGCTAGCAAAATTCCTTTGCACAGGTCTCCAAATAGCTGTTAGGCAGCGTGAAGTCAGTAGCATGAAAAGAGTGTTAAAAGCCGCCATGATTTACTTCCAACTTCTTTCCTTGGTTGTGACACCCCAGGTGTTAAGCCACAATCAAAATCATTTTATCTTTCTGTGCTTTAGTTTCTCCTTCTATTAAGCAGATACTGACCTTTCTTTATTATGCATTGAGACATATGAATGAAAAGCAGTACGTAAGAGCTGATTGTTATTTAGCTACTAATAATAACTCTTGAGCTGTGTAAGTCTCTCAGGTAAAATAATTCTGTATGACTAAGCAAATCTCTCAAATCCTTCCAAATCTCCACCTGAACTTTACAATCTAGATGGTGAAGGCAGGGCAGGAAGAGGCGGGCAGTGGAAAATCATTTCCTCTTCACTGGACACAGAACCTATTCTGAAAGGAAAAAACGTGTGAAACGCTTACTGTACCTTGGCAGTAGGGATCTGTTTTGTAACACAACTCCCCCCAAAACAGTTTTGCCTTTTTCAAAATAATGCAACTTTCATTAAATGTTTAGTTCTGAGACTTTTAATTTATCTCCTTAAGAGTTATATTTATAGTAAGGAGACAAACCATACTCATTAAATGAGAATCAGTTTCCGTCTCTGAACATTCTTCGGATTTTGGATGTGGGGTCTTTCCTGAGGCTCAGAAAAGATTTGAATAAAGGCTTCATCCTCCCAATGAGGGGAAACTTTTAGTGATTTTATCCATATCTTCAAAATATGCAAATCTTCTCCCCTCACTCGCTTTTCACAACTTTTTTTTTTTTTTTTTTTTAAACAACATACAGAGCAATTGCTCCTTTTTTCAGGGACAGAAGCTATGCAAGGGGAACAATCTTTCTAAGTATACTTCCAAAACAAAACTCGACTGATGTGTTTTCTACTTCACAAATGGGCACACCGTGCTTTCCACAGGGGTCAGGAACTTAAAACCACAGAGTCTGCGCAGGACAGAGACACTTAACTCCCTGCCACTACTGAATGGAAAGCAGTTAGGAGACTTGTTCTGCCAGGCGCTCCTACTATATTTGGAACCACACTGAGATAAACTCTGATGCAGGATCAGATACATACAAAATATTGTAAGACCCAAAAGAAAATAAAAGAAATATCTATAAAAAAAAGTGAAATAGCTATTTAAAAGTATTAAAAAAAATGTAAAATAAGTATAATCTGTCCATTTTGAATGGCAGACTACTGGCTAGAATGCCACCTTCCAACCACCATTCCGATACACTGGGATAGCAGCAAGGTAGCAAAGCGTAAGATGTCAAGACTTCTGATGTTAATGGATTGATTCTTCAAAAACAAGCCAGGCTTTTACTTACTGTAGCTTTTGTCTCCAGAGTCTGCATGCACTCAGTTGCTGATTAAACAATACATCAAGAAAAACAACCTTCAAACCAACTTTCTTTCAAGGCTGAAATTAAATAGATCATTCCTACTGTTTTTTTGTCAAAGAAAGAAATGACCAGTGATCACTTAATGTACAATTAAGACAGAAAGTTATTTCCTATCAGGACAGGCTTAACTCAGAATGAAAAATATTTTAGGTATAATGGTATAAGGTATGTCAGAATGACACAGACATGAGGAAAAACGGTATTTTAGCTGGGCCAGAATTCTGTCATATTTAAAAGAAAGTAGTCGTCTTCAAATCTTCATAATAATTGGTCCCTATTCCCTGCTCAACATTATTTAACAGCTCAAATCCATAATTAAGTTCATCATCCCAGTGGAATTCTGAAGAGAGGCTTAATTTTCTGCAAGAGAAATGGAGACATTGCGCGCCTGGCAGAGTAGCAAATCAATGACTCAGCAATGGGCAGTTGAAAGCAGATTCATTTTAATCTCTTAATCCCTAACACATGCATACGTTGAAGGGTAGTCTTTGTGACCCTTGTAATATTTATACTGCACAACATGTATGTTCATTTTTTGCATGCAGCACTTCATGGTGAAAAAATAAACTTTTGCTGTTTATAAACATACAACTACAGTATAGAAAGCTTAAACCCAATTTTTGGAAACCTGTATTCAGATATAGATAGTCTTTTGTTTATGTCAAATGTATATGAAATACTGGCCTACTATCAGACTGCAAATTATTAATATTTGGGATTTTCATACAAGCCACAATACCGGAAATTTTTGCTTTGTTTACAAACAGCAGGTACAAAAAACCCCACTGATCCTTATTAATCCATCTTTTTAATGGCTATTAATGGCTTTTGTTGAGAGCAAATGATTATTTTTTTTAAATGAAATTTTTTGTTGTGAGCATATGCACTAGAAAGTACATATAATTTGAGCACCTAATGTCTTGGTCGCATGAAGAAAAAAGTTCAGGTTTTAGTTAGTGAAACCCATTCCAAACTGTGCCTAAATGACAAAAGCTGAAATCCAGTATCCTAGGAGATCTTCAGATCTGTCTAGGTTTGGGTCTACAGATTTGGATCTCTGCTCAAAGTTTTGGTTCTTGATTAATCACAAATTAGAAGAGCTCGCTTTCCAGTTTATGAAGAGCACAGCCAGATTCTCCCAAGAATTACACATGAACAGTCACTAGTCTTGGAAAAGCAAATCATTACACGCAGACTTTTATTTCTGCTTTTCATGATTTACAGAAGTATAACCCCAGGCTTCCTGTTCTCACCAGCATTACTTAATTTAAGTAAACTGTGTTAATAATGTGAAAAACCTCTGTGCTCCCCAGGGTCCCAGGCATTTTTTTTTGTTTACTCTACTTTGTATCTCTCCTTAACAACTCTTTTGCAACCGAGAGAGGGATAGCCATACATTTCATTGCAATTCTTTCAGTTTTATTCTGCTGGCATTTAGACTTTTGATTCTCACATAAACACACAACATGCATAAGATGGCTTCCAACAGTAATGCCCATTGTACTATACTCGTGTTGTGAAGCTTAGCATTTGTGCATTTTACTAAAGAGATTTCTGTAAAAAAGAAACTAAAATTACATGAAAACTTCAGATTTTGACACTTGAAAATATACTCAAGTTCTACCTCCAGAAGTCCCTCATTATTTCACGCACATCCATCACTTTAACGCAGTATGTAGGCCACAAAACCTATATATAGGTTATCTCAGGTAATCTAGATCTCAATATTGCCTCTTTGAACTCTAACAGAAATGACTGAGAGAAAATAATGTAACTTTATAACTTGTGTACATATATAGAGTCAATATTTATGGCTTCAAAAAGGCTCTTACCTTGAGAAACAAGGCTCCCTTGGAAGCCAAGGAGTCCATTCCTCTTCCATTGGGGTAACAGTGATAGGCAGCATCCATAACAGGATAGCGGCTGGCAAAAAGTAGACCACTGTTCACAAACTTAAAGCTACAGCAGCCATGGCAACTATAGACCCCAACATCATAGACAATGTATTCAAAATAGTGATGAAGCTGCTCTTTCAATTTCTCCGCAGCTCTTTTGTCAAACACTTCCTGCAAACACAGAAAGTCCAAGTTGGCAGGGAAGAAAGCAGAGATCTCATGATCAAAGGTCTCATCTGTATGTTTCTTTTTCCGCACTGAAGTCTTCTTCATGATTGAAGCTTTGTAGAGGAGCTTGTTGTTGACAGTGCTTTGGTCCACTGTACCATCTCCAACGCGGACTTTGACTAAGGACTCTCGTGAAGCAGAATAGCTGTCTAAACTCCCAGAATCTCCTTCTTTCTGTTTATGGTTAGGTGTTTTTGAGATCTCTGCGTCACCTTCCAGTGAGGGCTCTGCTGGGCCACTGGCATGAGCCTGGCCATTGACGGCATCTGTTTCTGTGTCTGACATGTGGCCATTGTCCTCTCCATTTATGCGGACAATGCAAGTGTTTTCTTCTCCCTCATTTGGCTCTCCAGCCACACCTTTATCTTCTCTACACTCCTCGCTGTTGTTTGAGCCAGAATTGTCTCCTTTATACTCCATTGACGTTGTCCTTTTGATGCCAGCATTAACAGTACGATTAGTGTTGTCTCCACCCTGGGGGGAGACCAGGCTGCTAAAACTTGCTGCACTGATGGATGTGTTGGTAGGAGAATCTATGTATATTTTGATCTGTGGTCTGCTTGCCCCATTTCGGATCCTCCGGCCAATCTCTTTAGCCCTAGCCTGTGTATTGAAAACATTATTAAATCTTGCCAGAGAATCTGGCAGCAGGCAAACATTGGCACTGCCAAAGCAGAAGCTTTTCCCATTCCCTGCAGCCTTCCATTCAGTGAGCAGCGTGGCTCCATTGGCGTGGTTCTTGTCTTCTAGTCTGGAGTAGATATACGGCCTTCTGGCTGACTGGAGCGGGGACCATAACAAGAAGCCGATCAGAGCAAAAGGAAGAGAGGCTACCAGCAGTGCCAAGTAGATGGGAGTGGTAATAATGATGCAGAGCGCATGAAAATAGCATGGATCATCTGCTCTTTGACGTTTTTCATAGGTGGTTGGGACAAAAGAGGCCACAAGCCTATCTGCTAACCAGTAACATGGGAAAATGAGGCCCCAGGAAAAGGAATGCAGAACTGACAGAAAGCTGTTGGGAAATGGGGAAGTGTATAAAACCATTGCAACTTAATTATGACAACACCTCAGGGCCTACTACATGATGTCACTGTGTCAAGCATCCATAAGAACACTGGGAGAGGGCGGGGGAAAAAAGGTCCAGTCAGGAGTTCGGTTTTTTCCAGTGAGAGTCAGTAACAAAACTTTAAGAGCACCATTTCACTGTGTTGGAGTAAAAGTGAAACAAGGCCACTGTTTTTGTCTGGCTTTTTGGCATCTGTATTTGTCAAAGGATGTCATTGTTCACTGGAGGCTGCCATAACGAAACACTCCGGAGGCAAAAAGGAAATCTGCAAAAAGAAAAGACACAGAACATATAACAGTTATTAAAAGTTTAAAGCGGATTTTCTCATACCCATTTTGCCTTACAGTCTACGTTATTTCCCTCTTTTTGTTTAATTTAGCATTTTTGACAGTCTGTTAAAGACTATGGATCCAGGGCAACACCAACAAGAAGGGACTGGTATTTCTGCAAATGAAACCAGTACATTGACCAATTAATGCACATGACTAGTGTTATCATGAAACACATTTCCATTATGAATTTTAGGCCTTATATTGAAAAATATAGTTTGGAGTTTCTTTTCTTTTATAATCCATTCATGCTAATATTTATATTTATTCATATTAGCTGTTTTCAGAACCTTGCAAATGGTGTTTAGCAGTTATCTCTAGGCTGCTCTAAAAGACTATAACATCTAGGATTTTATCAGTGAAGTTATATTTGCTTGAATTGCCAAAGTCCTTAAAAAAAAAAAAAGTGATGTGATGGAGGTACAATGGCAAAGGCACCTTGTATTTAAGAGTGGAAAACGTTTGTTTGCTATAAAATATTATTTGCTTTGCTGCCCTTGAAAACAAAATGGGTTGATTTAAATCAATTAAAATACTCTTCATATGGTTGCCTCTGGTTTCAAATTTTTAATTTTCAGTTTATTAAAACTACTAAGTCAAACTACTTTGCTTTAATATTTAGGTATTTAATACTTATTATTTATTTCAAGCTGCAGTTCACTTTCGTTCAGCTAAAGCCCAGAAAAACTCTTGATACAATATGCTATTAAAGGTTTTTTATATATAGTGAATACTTAAGCAAAATATAAATTAGTCATAATTAACATTTTAAAAATCCAGTTTTCAGCTTTGAAGGAAAAAATACTAATTGAATATATCAAATAAGAAAAACAGTTTCATGTCTTTCCTCTGAAGACAGACGATGTCTTTCAAAAGTTGTGTTGTTACCAGTTGAGGAACTCTGACCCGAGGTATTTAGAAAATGTCCTGATTAACCAAAGACATCAAATTGTTAGAGGGCTGATCACATCAAAAAAGCTTGGCAGTATTCATACAGCCTACATACTCCTTTTTTGTTGTTGTTGTTAAGTAATTTAAGTCATCTTAAAACCTCAGCTTACTGCAAGTTGTTAACACAGGTTTTGCTAATATGAAATATACATTATTTTTTAAAAACCAAGTACTCATATTTTATCAAACTTTATCAACCTTGAGAATGGTATCACCGGTGAATGCAATGTCACTCTGCGTAAACTGAAACTGTGACGTTACGCAGTAAGAGACTCAAAGCTAGATGACTGATGAAGGCAGAATTCCCATTTAGAATGTTTCAATTTTCAAACCTAGAATGTAAATAATAATAAGCAGCACTGGATAAAAACTATTCACCAAATAAGCAAAAGAGAGGATGTACACTGGACCATGCTTCAAAAACCATCTTTACTTTTGACATCTTGGGAAAGACAAAAGTCACATATGAATATTTATTGGTATAAGTTCAATTAAAATTTGGAGCTCTCAGGGAGCCAAAATTAAGGGAACAGTAGTTGGATGTGTATTTTAAACATTCTGAAGGGCACCTGGAGACAGAATGGCATTTCTATTTAATATGATATGGGACATAGAAGAGAGAAATATAGTTTTACAACACAATGCCGCCTTGGAGTTAGAATAAAATGCAATTCTTCAATTTTCTCTCACCTTTTAGATTTCTGTTTTTTCAAACCAAGCCCTTACAACTGATGTATGTTCCTACTGTCAGCATATTTTTAATTGTGGTACACATGCAACACCAGACTGCCAACACAGAGTATACCGGACAGGTCAGAAGAGATAAGTAAGGCATTAAAATACATGGCTTAATTAGCTCTCTTTTTACCGTACTTTTTTTTTTTTTTTTTTTTTTTAACAATAAGAAAATTCTTCCCTCAGACTAGATTCTTGATCAGCAGGACTAAGAGTAGTCATAGCACATCAGATTTGTAGCCACGCATTTTTGGTAGGCACCATGGCAAAGAAGAATTTTAATAAAGGAACAGATGAAGATGAGATAGTTTTGCAGGTATTTCTTCCTAGAAGTGAAAGGCAACCCTGGGCCAAGCAAGTTAAGTGTTAGTCTGAAAAATCTAATAAGATGGTGACAAGGGCTCGTAACAAAAACTGACTGGAGATACGAGTCAAATTTTAAAACAGAATGAGAAAAATCAGGTTGGGTGGGGACAAGATTATAAAGTCCTTCAAAAGCAAAACCAAGTAATTAGTACCCAAATACTATAGAGAAGGAAGAGTCCGGAAGCACATGCATTAAAAAGGATGGCAGTAGCACAACAGAAAACTGCTTTTAACTACTGTGTCCTGGGTGTGCAAGGAAAGCTGTATCTCAGATCTTCTGTAGAATGTTCACGACAGCAAATAATGCTTAATAAATATGCACATACTGCTGTTATCAGGAAAAGACCACCAAAACCTGACTAAAGATAAAAAGTGAGGGGAAGGATAGAAGAAAAAGGAGCTGTTGTACTGCAGCAGCACACACCTAGCCTTCCTGCTGCAAGGGTAACAACCCTGCAATTGCTCACAGCCACCACCTTTTGCCAACACCAGGCAGTCAATTACGTTTAATGGGATATATGCTCCTGTGTATTTTTGCCCTGATGGTACTATTTAGATGGAAATTTGAAAGGTTGGATCAAGGGAGGTTATTTTTTTGTTGGTTTTAATTATTAGCTTAGCATAACTTTCACAATCTTATGCAACATGTTTGAGTTTAAATAAATGAGTGACTTGTCAAGTGCCAAATAAATGCTTGGCATTTACTCATTGCCAAAGGCATTTTGGGATGTTGATAATAGCGGGAAGCCTAGCAGATTTGTTTTCCTGAATGATTTTTAGGACTCTTTAGTAAGAATGTTCAACAGAGACTCTGGCACCTACATATCAGATGGAAAAAAATAACTTAAAACCTGTCCAATTATGTAATTACCATTAGATAAAAAACTGTAAAGAAGTGACTCTGTTCTATTGGATGCTTAAAATGTTTTATAAAAGCCCTGTCTCTTTACATAATCACTCAGTGGACCGGAAACATTCTTGTTTACAACAGTGCCAAGGGTAAACAGAACACTGTTGTTTGGGGTATGTGAAGTGAGTGCAAACGCTTCATTCCAACTTTCAGGCTAATGACCTTTCTGGTGAAAGCTGCAGTTGTGTTAGAGACTATAAGGTCAATTTGACTTCTACTATTTTAAAATAACACCAAAATAAAATGCAGAACCACAATGGATCTATAGTAATTTGTCTCATTAGGCCTTCTATAGAGAAGTGTTTTCTTAAGCATATGATGACAGAGTGTTACAACTCCTAGGGAAACGTGAATTCAAGTGACAATTTTGTAAATAGAGTAGTCAACGCCTGCTCGATGATGTGATGAAGTAAAAAAAATCAATCCAACATAACTCATGCCGCTTCTGTTATGGACCGCAGCATCAATAATCTACAAGATAAACAGCTGTTCAGCAAACCATAAAATGCTCAACTAAAATCCTTCACAAAAGCAATTATTCAGAATATGGGGACATACTGATTCTAAGGAATTCATGCTTACCGGAGATACAACATACTATCATGTGTATTAGTAAAAAAGGAAGAAGAATGAATGCAATCAGAAATCCTTTCACAGGGTAAGATTACACAGCAAGTGTCAAAGTAAATCGCCTCAGACTGAAGTCTGTTTTAATAACATTTAGCAAGAATGTAATTCTTTGTAAACACTAAGGACTGAATGAGGGTTCAAGGCTACACTGGTGACTCCTACACTTCCTCTGCCTTAAACAAGGGTAGTACCTTTGAAAATCAGGATTTTGCTAGACAGTTTTTGACCATGTGCCAGCTGCATTCCTCATTGCTAGCCAGCTGAAGTGGGGAGGCAATAGAGACTTGAGTACAGAGATACATTCCATCCATTTTAGTCTATTAATTCTAATGGAATTCTTACAACTAATGATACCGAAGTATCAAAACTCTGCTACCACAGCAAGTTTTAAAATGATAGCTGGAGAAAAGGGAGAAGGGAATCATGAGCTGGATGTCCTTTAAATTTTTGCATACTGCAGATAGAAGACATCGGCACACCAAGGCCCTAATTAAAAATACTCTTCTTGCAAGTAAAATATTACCCTAATTTATTAATCTTATAGATGAAGGAAATCACACAATTTGCCAAAGCTCTGTTACAGACTCACTGGCACGCAGACGAACAGGAACTGTTTCCTACTCTTGTCTCTTAGCTACAAACCCATATGCATGCTAGTGCCTCAAAGCCACCCAAAAGGGAGAAAGAAGAGAGTCATGAGAGACACATTTTATCTCTGCAAGATCTTAAAGGGTGAGGGAAGGCACCACGTGAGTCAACTGCAACTTGGAAACCATGACGTTAGCAACATCTCTCCTAATGCAACGGTTTAGATGCAGCCTAAAGCTAAAGTGCCTAATTCCTTGTGATGAAGGGTATTACTTGGTAATCCAATGCTTTATTCATAGGGGTTTGAGAGATTAAGGGAGAATTTAAGATATTGCAATGAAACAGATATTTTTGTGCGCTACGAAGATGTAAACTGCAATCTTGTTTAGTTGTTTTTATTATTTTCTAAGTGTTTGAAGGCTAAAAAAAGATTTTATTTAATTTTTTTTTATGGCGCCAGTATAGAACA